AAGACTCAACACCAGGAAAAGCATGGATTGAGTCATGAAGACTCAGTTAGAAAAGAAATATGAGGTAAGGCATGGTGGCTCACACCTGTAATCCTAGCACTCTTGAGAGGCCGAGGTGGGTGGATTGCTTGAGCTTATGAGTTCAAGACCAGCCTGAGCAAAAGCAAGACTCTGTCTCTACTAAAAATAGAAAAACTGAGGCAAGAGGATCACTTGACCCACTAGTTGGAGGTTGCTGTGAGCTATTATGCGCATACATGGCACTCTACCCAGGGCAACAGCTTGAGACTTTGTCTCAAAAAAAAAAAAAGATATAGAAATTGTGTGGGATGGGCAGACGGGAAGATTAAAGAAGGCTATTTGAATAGTCCTTTTAAAAAAGAAGTGTTGGGCCACGCACAGTGGCTCATACCTGGAATCCTAGCACTCTGGGAGTACAGGAAGGAGGATTGCTTGAGCATAGGAGTTTGACACCAGCCTAAGCAAGAGCAAGACTCCTGTCTCAACTAAAAATAAATTGCTAGAATAATGGCATGTGCCTATAGTCCCAGGTACTCAGGAGGCTGAGGCAGGAAAATTGCTGGGGCCCAGGAGTTTCAGTTTGCAGTGAGCTATGATGAGGCCACTATACTCTAGCCCAGACAACACAGCAGGATTCAGTCTCCAAAAGGAAAAAAGAAATGTTACCATGGAGCAAATTACTTCATCATTTAGTTGTGTGAAGAAAATTGTTTTCCTTGATCTTTTGTCTTCAGAGTTCTCCTTTAACACTTCTTGTCATTCAGAGAATATATTTGTGGAATATTTATTCAAAATATATAATTTTAATAGTCATTTTGTAGCTTATTCAGTGCCCTCTTTTTTCTTTTTTCTGTTTTGAGACAGAGTCTCGCTCTATCACCCTCGGTAGAGTGCCATGGTGTCACAGCTCACAGCAATCTCCCAACTCCTTGGCTCAAGTGCCATGGCATTCTACCCATGGTGACAGTGAGACTCTGTCTCAAAAAAAGAAACCAAACAAAAACTGTAATGCCCAAGGATGGGAGCATGGCTCTTAAAGAAATACTGGAGGCTTAGTGCCTATAGCTCAGCGACTAGGACGCCAGCCACATACACTGGAGCTGG